GAGGGGCTGTGAAGACCGGCGACGAGAGGGTGGGGGAGGTGCTGTGAAGACCGGCGACGTGTGAGGAAAGCTTGGGAGAGGACAAAATTGGAAAAGAACACTCTGAAGGGTTTAGTGAAGCCTCATATGCAAAATGGTTAAGAGGGGTTGTGTAACCATTAAGAGCCTCTTTTTTTTTGCCAAACACCCTTAACCTCTTACCGATTAAGAAGTTGGCTCTTAATGTAACCATTAAGAACCAAACAAACAGCCCCTTAACTTCTCCAACGTGAGCACATAAACTTATAATTTTGAACCAAAAGTCAATGGAGGCTGACCTGACGATGAAACTGTTGAAGTTTATCTAGCTTTCAAACTGTACGATATGTGATCCCTGTCAATAAGACTGCTGAATTTTGTAATACTTGTTAGATCTTGAGTTTGAAGGAAAACAGTATTTATGAGTTTGGGGGAAAAAGTGGGAACTTTATTTCTTGGAGGGTAGTGATGCAATTATTCATTTAGATAACTTTGCGTGATCTACTCGTTGAAGCTGGATTCTTCGGACCCATGAAAAGCTCAAAGAACTCGATTCCAAATCGAACTGTGTTTTCTTTGGTTTGACGACGATTCTGCCTGCAATTCTCAGAGACCAAACATCAAACACCTAGTGGGCATCACATATCGCACACTTTGAGTGATGATATTACCTTTTGCGAAGCTAGGGACACTTGCTCTGAAAACATTTTGCAAACCAATCGCCAAACGTATCAAGAAAGAAGCTGGTCGTCATCCCAAGTTCCGCCACTCCATCATCAACATTGCCCAGGTAAGATTACGCAAAATTCGTCATGTTCCACAATTGAAGTCCATTATCAGAAATCATGGAATGATATCAAGATGAATGTTACTCTGAGTTGGAAACTTCAGCACATTTGGGAAAATGAAATCTAGTTGTTGATCGGAAGGACTGATGATTATTCTTTGCGAATTTAGATACTGTTCATTCTGTTGTGTGTGGGATTGATCTTGAACTTTTTCAATTTTTATGCAAGAGGGTTTCTTAGAACACCCATTTTGTTGAAATGGTGTATGTTACCCAATTTATTTGTAAAATTAGGGTTCTAACCTCATTTGTGAATAAAAGTCTTACTATTGAGATCAAGAACAACAAAAAGTAAGGAACATTTGTTCAAAAGATTTAGTTTAAACATACTGTGCAAGGGGTCTTCTTAAGTGTGTTATAGAAAATCCCTGGTTAATAGCTACACAAAATGGGCCTTTGAGAAGATGTGGAACCTAATTACATTACTCTCCAAACGAGCCCATGAGAAAAAAGGGGGTTCCGACAAATATCGAGGAGAAAGGGTCCAACTCTAGCAAATGTGGGATTTCATCACGCCTCTGGCAACGGAGGCTAGACAACATAGATTGTCCGAGACTGGTACAGATTGCCCCACAGTGTCGTGTCCCTAGAAAGGTATGCCTTGGCTTTAAGACCATGTGAGAATATGTGAAACCCATCAGATTACTCTCCAAACCCTTGAAGAGAGAAGGGATGTTCTGACATGTATTGAGGAGAAATGACCGAACAATGGAAAATAAGAAGGGCGAGGACATCACTATGCGTCAATATCATCCATAGACAAGTAGAAATCTTTAAGAACAAGATCATAAGGATTGATCTTCTAAATTAGACGAAGCTTTTTGAGCCTGTCAAACAACATTTTAGACCACAATCGTTACAAGGACTGCTACTTGCTAGTAGAGCTGGAGCACCGTGTTTGTTAAGCAATAAAATGGTTACTTTTGATAATAAACTTTTGACCTTTTGGAACTAAAACTTTTGTTATCGTTTTCATTATTGTTTTTATACGTTCTATTCAATCTTCTTCTATATCTGTGTATATATAGTTTGTTACAACCATATGTTAATTGTGGCAATATCATACAGGTTAATCATCGTTTCACGACAAAGTTGCAAAGGCGCATATATGGTCATGCAATGGATGTCGCTATTCGCCCTCTAAACGAGGATAAAGCTGTCCAAGCTGCTGCAGATCTTCTTGGAGAACTCTTTGTGTTCACTGTAATATTCCGTTAACATTTTCCTTGAATACATATATACACATCCGTCTAATCGAATGAACAAAGACATTCCACAGATTTAGCTGGAGTTAATGGTGCATATTTCACACTGAACCACTTGATCCCTAATATACAGGTTGCAGGAACTGCTGTTATCTTTGAGGTCCAAAGAAGTTCGAAATCAGAAGCTAGGAAGGAAGCGCTTCGTAAACAAGAACTTGAGGTTTATTTTATGTTCTTTTTATTATGAGATAACGAACCTAATCCGTTCTTTATGTTACAAATGAAATGTTCCATCTGCCCAAAAAAATACAACATTTCCTTTTCTTGGTAAAGCTTCATCCAAGACAAGTCATCTTAGCTTCGCCCATGAATAACGACAACAAAATACCCTTACCATTTGTTCTGGCCCTCAATGTTTCTCTCCTTTATGGAGGGATATTTTTAGATATTTGACTAGTCAAACATTTCCATTAGACTATACGGGTGTGTTAGATACGCAGGATATTACAGAACAAAAACTTGTTGTTCCACGTTTGGCACAACAGTAGATTGGTATAGGACAAGACCGAGTGGGACAAAAAAATCAAAATAGGTGGAACAGAAACATGGATATGAGAGAAGAGAACCTTTTTTTTTTTATTAACCAGGATATCCAACCCGCTATGCGAGCCGACTAATCCCAGGGCGACCACCTGCTTTGCAGATAGCACCGAGTCACCTCATTTGAACCTCTGTGGCCACAAGGGGATTTTTATTCCTCCTTGGATTTCAACCTGTGACCTCCTGGTACTTTTGACCTTTGGAGCCAAGCTCAAACCAATCAGGCACCACCCTTGTTTTTAGAGAAGAGAACCTTTACCTTCAGTATAATTGCACATGATTTTCTTCCATCTAAGGGTAGTAGTAAATGTATTAATCAACATATATTTGTTCTACAATGTGTTTGTTTCATATGTATTCGGTTCATAATGTGAAACTTTTTTATATGTAACTTTTGTTTTATAAATAAACCAAAAAGGTTCACATTGTGAAACAAATATATGTTAATCAATATCCTAAATCCTAGCCATAGATGAAAAAAATCATCCGAATTAGCACATGATGCACCGGTTCTCAGGATTCTCAAATAATTAGCCACCACGAGACAAGATTGGTAAATTACTAAACTATCCATGTCAAATTAAAACTCTAAAACTTTGCACAATTCTTTCAATCCCCTCACTCTCGCCTGTCCAATCCCCCTCTACATACCAAACGCACCCTATGTGTTCAGTCTAACATTATGCTTATTTTGGGATAGTGGAAGTGCGAAATAAGAACTCCTTCGATACCTTCATCTTGCATTCTATCTGTTTCAAAAACGGATATACACCGACTTTTTGTGCTGTTCGTGCTCCTGTTTCTTGCATTCTCTCCTTGATGGTTGGGTGCCTCTTTCTTTTTCTAATTCTCATTGATCTTACCAAATCCTTGCTTCTGATATAATCTCCTAGGCACTGAGACAACGAGATGAAGATCTGGCTAGAGAAATTGAGATGCTCAAGTACAAGATCAAGGAGATGGAACGAGTTGCCAAAGGACAAGGATTAGGCACCCTTTTCAACTTTAGAAAACCGCACGCCATTGAAGATGGGCAAAGCAAAGGAATCTAGTTACACGAACACTTGGACTTCCGTGAAAGCAAACCACCGAGTCCAACCCTGCAGGGGTATTTCCGTCGAAACGTCACCAGGTACAGTACACTGACTTGTAATGCTTGTTGCATGCTTTCCCTTGGGTGATATTGTTTCAGAACATTAGAAACATATCAGAATAAGAACATTAACATGAGATTTTCAGTCAGATGTGGAGTCTCTGATTCATGCGCTGATATATTTGCATTGCTTTTTGGTCTTTCCAAAGAAAAGTGGTTTGGATCAAGTAGTCTTGTACTGATATGACAAAGAGTGTTTTGGAATACACTGCAACATGTGTTGCTTTTTTACTTTCTTTGATTTTTTTTCCTGTTGATATTATAAATGATTGTAATATTTTCCTTACACTAGGGGTTGTTTGGTAGTTGTTGAATGATTTAGTGCAGAATGATTTAAGAGGCTCTCATGATATAGTGCAAAATGAAATGTAATTGTTTGGTAATTGTTTACAATGAAATTAGGGCGCTGAATGGTTAAGGAAGGTCTATGATACAAAATCATTCAGAAGATTTTGGAACCATTAAGAGGGAGACTTTTCTTTTGCCAAACAAGATTCATCTCTTAATGATTCAGAGACTCCCTCTTAATGAAACTATTAAAAGGAAAACAAACAACCTTGTTTTTTAGGTTTTGATTTAACAAATTCTTGAAAAATATGTTTAACTCGACTCGCAGGGATTTCAAATTGCATTATATTTCAGTGCTACGTTTGGTGTGAAACAAAATCTCGGGATTTCAATAAAATCCTACAAACATTGGATTTAGAAATCTTATAAAGTTGGTTGGTATTTCGACTAGTAATGATGTCTTATAACACGTGAACACATTCTTTTTTGTAAAATCGATTAATAAAAAGTAATTTAATTATTTATAGTTTGTTTAATAAATTATCCACAAGAATATGATTTTATAAATCAAACCCACCAAATATTCTAAATCTTCTCATGAAATCAACCGATCTTAAAAACATTCCTTCAAACCAAAGAGGCTTTGCTATTAAAAAATTGTACGGGTTGGAGATCTATTGCAAGTAAAATTAAAGCCATTGTGTTGAAACCGATGTCTGAATGGCAGGTGACACCAAATCCATAAAAATGTGTGCAAACAATAAAAGCAAGGGGTCGTTTACCAAACGTTTATCAGGGTAAGCACTTACCAAATCATATTACCTTACCGGATGAATATGATAAAAATCAAGAATCTTACCCCGGTAAGGAGGAGACAAAGACCGAGAGTCTTACCCGGTAAGTGAGGGCAACGACTCTTACTATGGTAAGCGCTTACCGGGTAAATTGTTGCATATAATGTCATTTTGGTAGACTAAAGCCTTACCCGGTAAGTAAGTGATAGTGTTAAATTTTACCCGTAAACACTTACTGGGTAAGTGGTAAACGGCCCCTAATATATTTATGTTTATCTTCTTTAATTGATGTAAATGAATAATGACACCAAATTTGTTGTAAGATTTGATCTCAAATTTGGTTTGTCCCCATTGAAGATGGTCTTACAAGCGTACGAGATAACTTATTAGGTCAGAGTTTAACCTTCTCCGATCTGCTTAAAATTGGACAGTCGATTATAGAAACCAAATAAACAGTTCACAGAATCGAATGGATATCCAACAAAACGAATGGTAAACCAAAGAGACACCAACAACAAAAGCAACTTTCGTTAAGTTTTACAACATATCGTGGAGTCCTTTATTTGTATGCATATATATGAAGCTTAAACCGAAGACCACGAATTGGCATCGACCCAATTGAAAGCTATGGGTGCCAAAAAAGCATCAGGAATTCCGAGAGAGCTCACCAAACTAAGTGCATATGGTCTTAGTTCACTGCACAGTTTCATCACCTCTTTCCTAACCACTGCAGCATTATCTGTCGATAAGTAGCCATATCGAAGGAACGAAGCATCTTCTTCGATCAAGATTGTGGTGTACATCGATCTCATCAGACCCAATACATCCTGCAACAATATCCACCACAATATTATAAACTTAAGCCCAAAAAGATATTGTTTTGATCTTGATGTCCAACTGTAGCTCTTTCTATTGTCCTGCATACCAACCGCGATTTAAGAAAAAATATTACCTTTAAAGAACCGGCTGGAACGGTTGCTTCAACGTCTAGAAATGTTTGTAGAATCAAACGATCGGAAAACGCTCTGCCCAAATCCTCAGCAAGTTGATAAGTCTAACAGTATAAGAAATGAAAAAGAAAAATGAGAATCACTACGGCTAAAACCAAACCAAACCAAACAAACCCAGTATATCTTTGAGCTTGAATCATCGACACGACTACATCAAGAAATAAAATGAAATTATTAAAAAGATTTAGGGAGGGTTGTCTGACCACTGTGAATATATGTTCTTTGCTTTCTCCAAGAGCTTGGTGTTCCGAGACTTCCTTAACAAAACGATGCAATAGATCTCTCTCCCGTAAGCAGAAGATGTCGGTCTGCCATATAAAACAGTTTCTAAGTACTTTTCGCCTGTTCTAAAACATTTGTTAACGATCATAGCATATAAAAATGGGTTATACCTGAAACTGAGTGGTCCTGAGGGTAGAGCTTGTGAGCTGAGAAGGGATAATAGGAGCAGGTTTGTTCAAGTGTTCGAGCCCCAGACCTCTAACCGGTTTGTTCCTTTTCTTGGCTGCCAAAAACTCGGCCAGAAGCGCCTTGCTAATCTGAGTTGGGCATCAAACCATGATCATTAATACTCAAAACTAACAAAAAACAGATCCAAATCAAGATTACTACACTCAAAGGGGATAAAATGATACAGATCATCAGTGAGATCGTGTTCAATATGATGTGGATGTAATTGTGATCAAGAAATAGATCATACCAAAGAATTGATGGGACCCAAAGAGATGGAAAGATTTGCAATTGTCTATCTTTTGACTATGTGAACTACTTTCTTGGACCGTAAAATGATGCAAGAACGAAAATTTTTGAACTCTTCTATGTGACCACCTAACTTTTAGTTGTTGCTATGCAAGCCTGCTAATGTCGAATAGTTCATTACCTGTTGCATAAGAACATTATTGTCGCCCTCAAACGTCAATTGCACATCATACTCGCTTTTTAAGTGACCAACATGATTTTCGGTCTTCAAACCTTGCCCACCACAAGCTTCTCGACATTCCTGATCCAAAATCAGCAACCATTTGATCAGAATTTGAAGTTAGGCATTGTTAATCCAAAGAGGAATAAAAGTCCCCTTGTGGCCACAAAGGTTCAAATGTGGCTACTCCGGGCTACCCACGAAGCGAGTGGTCGCCCTGGGATTAGTCGGCTCGCATAGCAGGTTGGATATCCAGGTTAATCAAAAAAAGGAAAAAGAACGTAGGCATTGTTTCACACCTGAACAAGTTTAATCTGATAGAAAATAGAAAAATGGAGATTTGGAAATTGAAATTTTAAGCTTCATATGTTCACAAAGTATGAAAAGATTATATTACTTGAACCCCACTTGGCAATTAAGCGTTAGAAGAACGTTGGTTCGACCAAATAAATCTGCTTAAAACTTTTTTAGAACACTGGTAAATAAAGATAAACTTTCTGGGCATTTACAACCTGAAGGGTTCGCATGTTATGCCAGGTTAAAACAGCCTTGAGTGCACTAGAAACAACATGGACAGTCTTAATCGATGCAGGTGTCCTTTTAACGTATATCATCTTCAAGTAGTTGGAAGCAAAACTCAGAGCATATCTGCCGAACAACGAAAAAGACAAACGTCAAAACAACATTTAAACAAACATAGCAAATGTTCAAAGAACCACCAAGTATATATTCCAAGAAGAAAAAAAAGATGTAGCAGCAGGGCATCTCATTTTATCTTGATAACACTTTCAAACTCAAAAATAGTACGCATTGGCGGGTTGATCAAACATGTCCAAATGGTGACACATAGGATCCATCAAAGCTATATGTACGAAGGGGATTCTTCAATAAATCTGCAACGACTGATCTATAATACATAACCAAACTGGTCTATTTGCCTACCCACCAGCCCATTTCTTGTATACTATTAGGATAGGTTGTGCCTCGAAAATGTTTATTACTTCAAACCCTTCAAGGTATCAAAGCAATCAAAACCTTAACCATACTAAATTTTCTGTTTCGAATAGTTGAAGCATTTTCCACTCCGTGTTCCACCTCACTCCTTGCCACAAATCGACATTTGACCTCAATCTAATGACAAATTCAGTTCTGCACACGTCCGATGCACACGTCACGTGACACCCTATGTCAAAAGAACAAACACTGGTATCGAAGCAAAAGCTTCACATATGCAGTTATCCCATTGGTCTCCACGTTCTTTTAAAATAGCAGTCTTTCTAAAACGAAGATGACCATGGCCACAGCCTCTGATATGAGAGAGAGCTTGAATACACATCCATTCATCAAACCACAAAATATCATATTTCTATGAATTCTCTTCTGAAAATATATCCCCCTCATATGCCCTTACAAAATGCCTTTACGAGCTTTTTTCCATTTTGTAGATATAAAAAGATTTGACTGCAGGAACATGGCAGCAGTGGAGAGAAAAACTAGTGATAAGCAATGATGTTTGAGTGGAAACGACCCTCAGTCAAGGAACAATAAACATTAACGGGACAGTACTGCTTTGGCGGTTTAGTTCATTCCATTTCTAGGCAGTAATGTGGCATGTATCTTTGATCTGCAGGAAGGACCCAATCTATTCTGAACTCCATTCCAGAGGCAACCAAACGCGCCCTTAAGGTATATGATTCATCCATTAAAGAGTGATAAGACACAAGGTGCCAACAAAACAACCCTATTAACTAATATGTAAGCATAACTTATTTCATCTAAATCCGGGAGCAAGTCAAAACTGAAAAGGATTTACATCTGTAGTCTAATTGCACCTCACACCCATCGTCCCTAATAATCTGAAGAAAACTGGAAGTAAAAAGGATGAAAAGGAAACACGAATACATGTTGTACAAGGCTTCCAACATTGCATGGTTCGAAGGGTCAATTTGTATGCTTATTCGACAAAGATGTTTCTATAGTTTGATATCTAAAGGCTCAAAACAAAGGTGATATAATAAACAAAAACATCATTTCGAGTGTCACAATTAACATAATTTCATGCAACAGAAGATGCAAAGAACATGAAAGCAACTACAAATGAGCTTATAAACGTAATACATATTTATTTGGTACTTACGTTTTTGCAAGAAGAGGCAAGAGCCTCCTTTGATGACTTGGATAATCAAGCAGAAGAACTTCAGGTTCATTTGGTCTAATTGAAAAGGCTCGCCTTGACAGAGAGTACCTTATTGCAATTGCTAAACCAACCTGAAGAGAATAAACAGCATCACAAATCATTATTAGAATGAATTTAGGCCAATCCATAGTTCTTTTAACTCAAAGGCTGTGCATAGCTTACCTTTGCTGTGTTCATTGAACTTGCTGCAATGGTCACACGGCCAGACGTGAGAGGGGCCAAAAAGGCTGCAAATCTCTGAAATGAAGTATCAAATATCAATAAGTAAAGTTCCTTTTTGTTTCTTTTCTCAAAATCATTTCAAATTCTGAAGCAAACATGTTCTTGGTGCAAAAATCAGAGATATCTACCCTCCTTTTCCCATGTTATATGTTATTTCCTTTCTCTTTGATCATTAATTTTTAGAAAATAGAAGGAAAAAAATGAACATCTATTCATATATACCCCACACAATAAAAGGCCTAAACCAAACCAAATGAAACCCGTACATCCCACCTCAGGAGGGAAAGATGTGCATAAAGGGTAGAGTGGTTGTTTCCGTAAAGACCCTCGGCTTGTGAAAAGTGTGGCAAAGATAGAAAGACATATATGATGAAGTTCTGAAAATCGGTTAAAAGTGAGCAAGAAAGAAGTAGACAAATGCTAACCTGATCTGGATCTTTTATTGCGGTCAAATATTGACCATCAGGCGAAACATCAGCAACTGAATTCAACAAGTTCTCTCTAGGGATCCTTAGATTGTCAAACCTGAAACACAAGCAGGGTTGAGGTTATCATTGGTATATCAAAAATACTACACCTTTCCTATGAATTTCAATTCATACCAGATTCGACCATTGTCAACACCATTCAAACCAATCTTATGACCACAATCAGCAATACGAACATTTGGACATATATTTCCATCTGCGTCTCTGATCTGGGCTATAAAAGCATGCACTCCTTCATTCACACCATTGATTTCGAGCTGTGAGAAAACGACTGTGTGTGTGGCATGCTGAAAACATCAAACACAAAAAGCATTCAAGTCTGTAAAACCATGGAAGCACACAGCAGAAAAAGATCAGATAATTGAAAGCCAAAAGAATTTGCAATGACGTCTTACATTAGCTGCACCTCCAATCCAATACTTTTGAGCAGATTCACAAGGAGTGCTGATGATAAATTCCTCGGTTCTTGCATCATATCTAGTGACTGTTTCAATGCCTCGGACCTAAAAAATAACTCAAGAAGCAACATATTATGCCTACACGAGACCATAATGTTATCATGCTAAGGGTGCGTTTGGTACAACAAGACAAGACAGTACAAAAACTTGTCATCCCACATTGGACGGAGACAGAACAGAACCTGACCAAGACAAAACTGCAATTTGTTTCTGTTCCACTAAAATAGGTGGAGATGGGACAATAGTGGTAAATTACTAAACTACCCATGTCAAATTAAAATCCTTAAAAGTTAATTCTTCCATCCGCCTGCCTCAATCTCATTTGTCCAGTTCTGTTAAGTCACGTCCATGTACCAAACGCACCCTGAAAGCCCTAAACTGAACAACTTCCACATACATTACTTCCATGTCCTAACTCAGTCATTGCAAAGCAACCCTTGACTTCAAAAGTCTCAGTTGGCTTGAACCACTTATCATGATGACGCTTTGTGCCCATGAAACGGATGGCACCACCCCTGAAATTATCATAGGAACATTAAGCATATCCATGAGTATCTTACAAAAGTTTCAAATATGAGTGAGTACTTAAAGATATTGGCTTGCAAAAGCAAACATCTTGTCTTATCTTATCTAGCCAATGGCATAAACCCCAACACAGAAACCTAGGGGCCAGCTTAAAATGCCAAATAAAGGCTGGAGTCCTTCCCATTGGTCGGCGGTTCAAGTCAGGCTCCTCAGACCATGGGGATTTTCTCTGTTATCTCCATGATCCATAGGATTAGCAGATGTATGAGTAAGCGGGTCAGATACCCCACGATTACACAAAACAATTCCCAATACAGAGGAAAATTTAGAAATTCTTGACTAGGAAAATACGGACATTATATAAAGAAAATCAAATTTACAATCTACTGTATGTTGATCAATCCGTCTTTTGGTTCTGATATACGATTACTCCAAAAGTAAGTAAGAACCTGGATATTCAAATATCACCTAGCCTTCACAAAGATCATCACCGGTTCTACTATGATTCCAGATAAGTGGCGAAAATCTAGGTGGAAACCTACTAAGCAAGTAAAGCAAACGACTAAGACGATTCTCTACAAAATTTCATCCAGAATATAATTAGAATAGCACCCAAATTGGATGCTTTTAAAGGGGGTCGACGATTTGAATTGAAACGGAAAAGACAAATTTTAACGAATATCAAACATGGCTTTCCCAATTGCCACAAACTTTTGTTCATTTCAAAGTAGTTTAAATTAGAATATAAAGAAGGGTTTTAGGCATACCATAAAAAGAAATGAACACCAAGCTTAATCCCCAACGAATGATCAAAAACACTAACAGTTTCAGCAAGAGCAAATCTCCACAGTTCACCATCATCCCCCTTCCTAGAAAACCACCCATCAAAAGCTCCTTGTTCTCTCAAGTAATCAATTCTTTTCATGGTCATCTCTCTCTGCTGCTCCATCGACTGATTAAAGTCCGGCGAAACAAACACCTTGCCGCCTCTTTCTCTGGGACAAAACAAATTGCTCTGAATCATCAAATTGAACATATGATCGATTACATCGATGCTTTTTCCGTCTAGGAGCTTACGGAGCGACTTTGTATCGAAATTAGCCAATGGCTCAGAAAGCTCGGGTGGGGAGTAGTTGACACATGGAGCTGTGTGGATGAGATCCGTAGGGGGGATGTGGTGGTTCTGGAGATGGCGAGTTAGGATTTGAGTCCTGAAGTTGACCCGATCCATTGTTGAAGATGATGATTCCATAGACGATGGATTGAAGAGGATCAAGAAATGGGCGTTATAAAGAAGACGAAGAGTCGGTAGTTATGGGCGCAGAATGGGGCAAATGGGTGGAAACTTGATCATTATAAATTCCATAAATCCAAATTAATTTATGACAGCATCTCTAATTACAATTATAACTAGTTTCTGACATTGTTGGTTGCGTGATGACGATAATTTTTTTTAAAATTATTGAAGTTAGCTAAATGAATCGTTGATCATATTTATATATTAAATTAATAAGAATCAATATTACCTTTGATACATGAATCCACCCACATCATTTTGATTATTCATATATTTTATACAAATTTTACAAAACAACATATTAATCCTGAATGCAGTACAAACATCCCTGAAAACACATTGTTTTGAACCACTTAGAGTCATAACTGGCTTTTCGACCCTTCATGAAAGTTGTAGTATACAGTAAGGGTTTTCTAACTGCAAAATACAAGTTTATTCTGACTTACAGTTTATGAGTTATACACTGTCAAAGTACAGAAGTTGCACTGTCGGTAAAATCCAAGTTCACAATTTCCCAACTAATTTTTATGATCCCGACTTCGCGTATTCAATCAAACGGGTAATTTTCTCCCTTACTATAGGTCTCATACTACCCCCATAAACTGAAAATCCATAATCCCAATTGTTACGGTGATACCTTTTAGTTACCCTATGCTTCTTTGAACAACCTCGGTTAATCTTATTTTTCTTATTATGATTTATTAAAAAAATGATTGAAACTCGTGTGTTTAGTCATTTAGTAAATATACTATTTTTTAATAATATATAAGAGTGCCAGTAGTTTATAATTCGTACATGGAGATGGAGAACACATAAATGAAAAAAACCCAGAGATTGAGGGATTTAGAGAAAAACCAGGGATTGAATGATTTAAATATTAGAGTTGAAACGTACCAAGAGAAGATGAAGGGTTTTTGAGTTAAATGTAAACATTAATTTGCAAAATTACTAAGGAAAAAAAATCAAATGTGGAAAAAAGAGAAAAATAGGATCTAGAAGACGCCACATCAATATATAATGATTCTGCTTTATAGATATATATATATATAGATTACTTTAATATTTTATCTCTTCTTTTTCTTTTATTTTAGGGAAGATTGCATCAAAATAGAACCAACTTTCACTTGATTCTTATTTTGAGGAACTAACTTTTAAAATTGTTATTTTGGGGAACCAACTTGCAAAATAGTTATAGAAAAATAACTAAAACTCATTTTTTTTCAAAAATTAATGTAATAAAATCTATTTTTCATTTCAAATCTCGTTTTCTTTTTAAATTCAGATATCAAATTGAAGATTTTTTCAAAATAAATCTAAATTACCACGATAAAAATTGTTTTTTACTAATGCAATAAAAAATCAATTTAATAAATATCAAATTCAAGATTTTTATATCTAATGAATCCGTATCAATATTAAAGTTTAAATCAAATTTGGTAAATCAACCAAAAGTTTGATATAGACCCTTAAATTACTTGTTATCTGTTCAACAGATCAACCAGACCCTTGAATTACTTGTTACCTGTTCAACAGATCAATCAGACCCTTAAATAAACAAAAAGTTTGATAGAGACCCCTAAATGACAATTTTGAAAGTTTGTTCCCCAAAATAAGAATCAAGTGAAAGTTAGTTTAATTTTGTTGCAATTTTCCCTTTATTTTATCATTACATTTATAATTAATTACTTTTTTATTATTATTATACTATAATGATACTCGTGCAATATAGCGAGATACATCTTGATTTTAATATTTTTTTTATTTTTTTATCTCAGTCGATGTTATAATATGATTTTATGTGATTTTGAAAAAACGATAATATTTTATTTTTGAATAAAATATAAATTTGAAGATATCATAAAAATTTAACTTTCGATATTAGTATCAAATTAACTATTTAAAATTCTTATTTTTTGTGTAATTTTTTAATTTAATTTTTTATTATAATTTTTTTATTGTAATTTTAATTTATGTTTAATAACGAAATAATTTATATTTGGTTTCATAATATAATTTTTTATAAATATAATAATTAATTATTTTGTTAAAACTCGATAATTATCCTAATTATATTTTAGATTTTTTATATTTTAAAATGATATGTTATCCTCTATTTGATTATGTTTATCCGTAATTACTAGTTGGTTACACGAATTCAAACATGAAGCTTTAATAAGTTGTATTTATGCATAATTACTTGTAATCTTGAATTTTAAGTAATATGCATCAATATACAGTACTTCATCATAAAAAATTGTTTTTAAGAGTTTTTATCAATGCTTTATAATATAGTATAGATAATAATAATAATGAATATAATTATATAATGTAACTATTAATTATTAATTATTTAATTTAAGTTTATTTTATATATCGAACACTACAAAGAAGATTATCAATAAAAATATTTTTTTAATTCAAATTCACCATTAATATATATTGCAATATTTTATTTGTATTTGTATTTTTAAAATTTTAATTTATTATGTTACTAGTGTTTTGCTTAAATTAATTATTAAAATTAAAAATTGTACCTAAAAAATGACACATAAATTACTTTTTTAGATTTTGGTTTAGGGTTTAGGGTAGGGGTGCTCAAAAACTTGACCAACCTGATCAATCCAATGCAAAATAACCCAACTCAAAGCAACTCGATGTCTAATCGAGTTGTAAAATTGTCAAACCATAGGTATTGGGTTACTATTATTTGAACACAACCCAACCCGACGAACCCGGTATCCTTTTATTTCTTGGATTCAATATGCTTGTTGAATTTCTATTAATATATACATTAGACAATTACACTATCATATATGTTKTTCATATACACATATTTTCAATCTATTCACATATCTATATAACTCATTCGTATATATGTTCAGTAACTGTGAACATATATATGTAAATTGAGAAAATTAATTGAATGTGATATACGTAAGAAATATGGATAAGTTGTATCAAATGATTGATGATGAAAAAGAAATTATGAGTAGACAAATAACATATTCAAGGTTAGAAGAATATTTTAATGTACCAAAGTATCAACCCGACCAACCCGTACGAGTTGGGTTGGGTTGCACTTTGGTTTGGGTTGGGTTGAGTTAATATTTTTTTCAAACCGCAAGCATATGGTTGGGTTGTTCAGATATCTTCAACCGGATTAACCCAACCCATAAACACCCCTAATTTAGGGTTTAGAACCTAGATTATACATAGTCAATTAAATGTTTAAAAATGTTAACAAACATATAAAAGAAAAAACTTATAAATTATAGTTGATGTAATAAATTTTAAATAAWTTATGATTTATAAGAAAAAAAATTAACTTAACTTATGAACAAATATGATATTTAAAATAAAAATGAAAAAATAAATAGAAAAAGTCTAAAAAACTCAATGGACTTTAGTGTTTGAAATAATTAAATTATTGGATAATTTTTTGGAAAAATAAGTCATTGGATATTTTAAAACCTGTTAAATAACTTTTTGGACTTTCTAAAACCTGTTACATACATTCTTATAATCTATACAACTGGTTAATATGGTAAAGTAATGGAAAAAGTCTGAAAAAAAGTCAATGAACTTTCATATTTTGAACAATTAAGTTTCTAAACATTTTTTGAACTAAAAAAGTACTACATCTATAAAATGAAACAAATATACCAAAAAAGTATTTACATTTACAAAAAAGTATTTACATTTAAAAAAGATAATTGATGAAATTTATTTTAATTAAAAATAAAATATATTCTATTAATGATTTTTCAAATTAAAAAAAAATACAGATTAAATTTATTTTAATTAAAAATAAAATATATTTTGTATATGATTTTTCAAATTTAAAAAATTAAAAAAATTAAAAAGGATTACTGATAAACTTTATTTTAATTAAAAATAAAGTATAATACTTTGGTAATTTTTCAAATTAAAAAATAAAAAATTATTTGATTAAATTGCTCATGGATTAAGGATAAAATTTAACTAAATACATAATTAATTAAAATTCGTCGCTAATTCATCGATGAAATGATATCACTGACAAGATTTAAACACGATACTTCACACTTATTAACATGTTATTGTGTTAGAGCGCCTAGATATAAGTAATCCATGCATACATACCAATGAACAATTGCGACGAATTTTAATTACTCATGTATTTAGTTAAATTTTATCGTTAATCTGTCAGTAATTTAATCAAATAATTTTCAATTCTTTTAATTTGGAAAATCATCAACGAAATATATTTTATTAAAAATTTCATCAGTAATCTTTTAAAAAAATAATTTCTTTTTAATTTGTGAAACTTGTATGGAATATATTTTATTTTTAAATAAAATA